TGCACGGTAGTGTTCGCCTAACAGAAGGAAGCTAGTCAGCCAAAAAAAAAAATAAAAAAAATAAAAAAAAAAACAAACAAACAAACGAACTTACCACCATGATGTGGGTTGCCGCGCGACCTCCGAACTAACCTGGGGAGAGTTCGGCCCAGCTCATGACTTCTGCATTGATGACACCCCTCTTGCTTCGGTCGAGGCTGACCTCGGGATCCAAGATGGGTTCCTCCTCTTTAGTCCCCGAGCTAGACGTCGCTGCTTCTGTAGTATGCTGAGCCGACCCCTCTGTAGCCTCGGCGACTGCCCCAGCTGAGCTCGGAGCCTCAGTAGTAACCCCTGCTGGCTCGTTCTCCAACCCCCTCGTAGCCTCAGGTATTTGGGGTGGAAAGTCACCCTCCAGATCTATCACCGGAGGGTCACTAATGAGTCTGGTCTTAGGGGCAGGAGCCCAGGAATGATCGGGTTTGGGGGAGGGAGCCCTCGGTGACTCCACACGAGCCCTTTTGGCGACCTTCTTCGCGGTCCGCTTCTTCCTCCTCCTCTTCATTTGGTTAAGGAGCTGGGTAGCCGTGATTCTCTCCTCTTCGTCCATGGGGGCTACAACAAAGTTGGCGTCAGTAAATCCAAAAACGATGAGCAGATGAAAACAAAGAGCCAAAAGACAAAAATAGACCTACCTGAGCTCAAACCGGCCTGAGCGAGCTTCTCTTCGGTGATGTATTCCTGATGATCGAGCTCAGCCTGAGCCCACGAGTGGAAAGCCTTCCACGTCTGCTAGTTGAGGGCGATGCTGGTCGCCTGGGTAGCCACCCTCCAGCTGGTAAGGAAGGGCCATCTTGTGCGGGCCCGGACCACAAAGTAGGCCCGCTTCCAAGCCGGGACCTTACTCGGGAACTTATGCAATAGCTTAAAACCTGGGCGAGGAGATAAGTAGTAGACCTGCCCATGCTCAGGGGGAGTGCTAGATGCACTCTTTTTTATCAGCAGTGTGGAGCAGAGTATGTCTGCAACCAAAGAGAACCGCTTTTCATGGCAAAGAGAAATAGTCCCCACTAAATTTCGAATGGAGTTGGGGTGGAGCTGATCCAGCGTGATATTGAAACGCCTTAACACCTCGGGGATGAGGGGGTGAAGAGGGAGATGAAGCCCGCCGACGAGCTATTCCCTGAAAATCACGACCTCATCCGAACTGTGCTCCCAGGGGAAGTTACCGGTGGGAAGGCTGTAGCTGTATTCAGAAGGAAGGTTGAATTGCTGGATGAGGTCTTGAAGCCTCTCCAGTGTCAGAGTAGAGGGACCGAATTGGTCCGGCACCCGACCTCGATGGGAGGTGGACGCCAACTTACCCGAAGCCGCTTGTTCTTCGCAGGCAGGTCGGACCGGGGAAGGGTCACCATGACCCGAAGTGCCCACCCTGGGCTCATTCGAGAAGCTACTCTCGCTAGACATAAGGACAGGCTAAGAAAAGAAGAAAGAAAAGGAAAGGAAAGACTCAGAGAATCACCTGAAATAGGCGAAAACGAACTGAAAAAGACCTGAGCTGGAGACTTCAAACGCGAGCTCAAAGCGAAAGCTACTTAGTAGCGAAAAGAATGCTAGAACCCCACTATTTATAGATGCGGGGCCCGGTGACCAACGGTCAGGATTGGATCAATCCAACGGACATCAAAGAAACCGGCTGTGGGGCTCCTGACGCGAATTTAAATTAGCGCATTTTTTGGCGTCCGCGTAGCATAAAGGGCCTGACGTCCACGCATGAGTTGCACAAGACGTGGGCTTTTTCCGTAAAGAACCAAATGCCTGGCCGGTCTGGCCATTGAACCGCCTAGCACGACAGTATGGGCAACAGAGTCAAATCCGCCCGGCGAACCATGAACTCCACGCATTGGGGCCCCCCGTCCCCAGCACGAGGAGTGGGGGACAATTGATGGAGGACAATTTGGCTTAAGCCCATGAACCCAGGACATGTGCACATGACCTGGCTTGGTGAACAGTCCAGCCTAACAGCACGATCCCGACTCGGCACGGGGGAAGCGCCAAGTCAAAGATAGTCAACTCGCCAAGGGCTAATACCTCGACGAGTCGGTCCCCCGCCCAGCTCAGAGAGCCCGGGCTCTCCCCTAAGGGACACCAAGCTTTTACCCACCTGGGAAAGAGCACCTCGGTGCTTCTTGGCAGGGGGACCCATCTGCCCTGAAGCACCCCAGTTTGTGGCAGCTCGGCGAGCCGCATGTGGGAAGGCAGGAAGATCTCCTGCCCAACCGCCGTACCAGACAAATCTGGTGACAACAGCCGTGCCCCTCATCAGGCAGCGTCGTGCCTGCCACCTTTAGAAGGTGTCCTACACATGACGGACACGTACCCAGCGGTGACGGCCCCGCGTGTGCCACCTCGGCTCTGCCAAAAACGGCTGCGGCAGGTTGGCAGTGACGGTTATACCCGCCATGTCAGAAGCTGACTCGGAGAGGTAACAGGCTTCTTCTATAAGGAGTTCAGCATCGAAGGGGGGAGGGGATTTAGATCTACAGTACGCGCGCTATCTCACTCTTAGCCTTCATCTTCCTCCTTGCTTCTCCTACTAAGTACTAACTTAATCATCGGAGTGTTCCCGCCCGGTAACTCCCTCCAGGAATTTCCTTTTTCTCAGGTATCTTCTAGGAGCCACGTGAGCGCCAGTTAGGAGTGACCGAATCACGCTACATCAGTTTTCAACCCTGTCATAAAACAAACTGGTTCAATTGAACTAGGTTTGGGTTAGAAGATAATAAATCTGAACTTTATTTGGGTTGAGTTTGTTTAACCGAAAGAAAACCTTGGCTGGTCAGATCTTGGTTTGCGAAATTTAGAATTTCAATATGCGAACTCTCTCTATCTTTCCCTCAAGGTCCCAAGGGGTGTTGGATGTGGTGAATAGGGTTAGGGCCATCGGAACTTGCCTTTCTGAGTCCAAAATAAGACCTAAATTTCATCTCTAATACGGTAATACCCAATAAATAAATGGGCACCAAGAGAGAAAGAGGGAAGGAGCGGGTCTGGATGCAGTAGACACGTTAGGTAAGTACAATCAGTGAGCACGTAATAGTTGTGTGACACATGTCCCAGTTAATGTGCCTTTCATCCAAACGTTTTTACTCCGTTCGATATAAATTATTCATTATTTTATTATTTTTGTCAAAATAATTAAAAATAAAAAACAATGAAAAAGGAAAACGTAAATGAGTCCCAACTCCCAACACGCTTAGATTTTCCTTTTTCATTGTTTTTATTTTTAATTATTTTGACAAAGATAATAAAATAATGGATAATTTCTGTCTAACAGAGCAAAAAACATTTGGATGAAAGGCACATTAACCGGGACATGTGTCACAGAACTATTACGTGCTCAATGGGTCCGGATGTAGTAGGGACATTCGGTAAGCACAATGAGTGAGTACGTAATAGCTGTGTGACACATGTCCTAGTTAATGTGCCTTTCATCCAAACGTTTTTGTTCCGTTAGATAGAAATTATCCATTATTTTATTATCTTTGTCAAAATAATTAAAAATAAAAAAAAAAACAATGAAAAAGGAAAACCTAAATGTATTGGAAGTTGGGACTCATTTATGTTTTTTTTTTCATTGTTTTTATTTTTAATTATTTTGACAAAGATAATAAAATAATGGATAATTTCTGTCTAACGGAGCAAAAATGTTTGGATGAAAGGCACATTAATCGGGATGTGTCATACAGCTATTTCGTGCTCACTTATTGTACTTACCTAACGTGCCTACTACATCCCGACTCGGAATGAGCACATCCATGGCAACGCCGATAGAATCCATTCAAACTTTTGGCTGAAAGAAAATGGCCATCGCCATCGCCATTACCTACTGCAAGCACAAAAGGGGCCTGATCGAGATTAATGATTATCTGATTGAGTTGGTGGAGCCGGAGATCATCCATTATAAAGCTTTCGAGCCCATTCTTCTGCTTGGTCGGCACCGATTCTCTTATGCAAATCCGAGTGAGAGGTGGTGGGTGTAGGCAACGGATGGCCAAGCCAAAAGAAAGCTAGGGGCTTTCCCAGGTTGAGGAGAGAGCCATAGAGTCGGGGGTTGCTGGGAAATGCACAAGGTATTCAGTCAAAAGATTGGTTTTGGGCAAGTTACTTTGGGCATTTGAATGATTAGTAAAGAAAATTAGATGATTCTCAAAGGATTTTTGCATCCTTTTACATCCCTCTTACAACCACAAAGCTAATCATTGTAGCAATAATTTCTCAAAAAAAAACAAAACTTGTAGATGTTAGAGAGATGATAGAGAGATATTTGATTCCAATTCACGTGGATAGAGAGTGAGTAGGAAATCCCCAGTGGCCTCAATGTCATTTCATTAATCACCACTTTTATGATTGGTTGTAACTTTTATGTCTTGTCTTTTGGTATCGTACTCGTAGTCTATCACGTTTTTGTTTTATGTTTTAAAGTATAAATTTTGGGTGGGAGTGCTTAAAACCGGCGAAGATCATATAATCACTTGTTTTTAAGTGCTTAAAATAGCAATTCATTAACAAGGCAGCAGGAAAACAGAGATCAAACAAAGAAAAACAGGAAAAGAAACAAAAAGGTCAACATAGGATTGATGATATGGGGTGTTGAATTATTGTACGTCTGTGGTTCAAATCAGAATTCTGAGGTGGCAGCCTAAAAATCCCCTCATTTTATTCGCTGCATTTCAACTTTGGAATTCACCTCCTCCCAAACAACGTGCTAATCTATCAAATCCACGTCATCCCACGGAGAGCACGTGGATCCCCAGGCACATTAACAATCAGCAATCAAATCAAAGCACGCTAATGGAATTTTGGTGCACTTGATAGGCATCAGTGACCTCTTTGCCCCCATCAGACGACCAGGATTTGTTGGTTTCCCATGTTAATAACTTGCTAGGCTACAAACAAAACTTTCCCTTGCACAGGCATTTCCTCTGCCTTCACTACAAATAATAAATAGCCATACGCCTTGCTGGGTGCAGAAATAAAACAGACCAAACTTCACAGAGTGAAGGGTTGAGTTGGCGGGTGAAAGAGATCATCAATTCACCATGGCCGGTTTCACAGAGCAACAAGAGATATTGGTGAAGGAATCATGGGAGACCATGAAGCAGAATGTGCCCGAGCTCAGTCTTCGTTTCTTCACCACGTATGTACAGATTTCCCCAACTGTTTGATTAATCGATTGCATGAATTATGGACCTTCTCTCAAGTGTTTGATTGTTTGCTTGTGATAATATGGATCAGAATCCTTGAGATTGCTCCAGCGGCCAAGGGTATGTTCTCTTTTCTCAAAGATTCTGATGAGATCCCTCAGAACAATCCTAGGCTCAAAGCACACGCTGTCAAGGTCTTCAAGATGGTAAGTGTTAATGGAGTCATTGGGTGGGTCAGGATTCATCAAAGGGTTTTTAGTTTGTATTACTAATTTATCTTTTTATGGTTGTGATGTATGCGATTGATGAAAACTGACAAGACCTGTGAGTCGGCTGTTCAACTCAGGGAGAAGGGTGAGGTGGTTGTGGCAGAGAACACACTGAAGAACCTGGGGTCGGTCCATCTTAAGAAAGGAGTCATCGATCCCCATTTCGAGGTGTTTATTTGAAGAATTGAAGACTTCTTTTATTTTCCTTTGTTGCTTATGATTTCATTTGTCTAATTGATGTACTGTTGAATTCAGGTGGTCAAGGAAGCTCTGCTAAGGACGATTCAAGAAGCAGTTGGAGAGAAGTGGAGTGAGGAGATGAAGAATGCATGGGGCGAAGCCTATGATCAATTAGCTGCAGCCATCAAGGCTGAGATGAAGAAGGAAGCAGCTCAGGATCCCCTGGCTCAGCCCTCCACTTAAATCATTTAGTGTCGTCTGAGTTTGTTGAATTTCTCCTTCTGGGTTCTAGTTGTTTCGTCTTTTCTGCAATAAATATTTAAGAGAGAGAGAGAGAGAGTATTGTTTGGACTATTGTCTTATTAAATGAGAAATCCATCAAATTAAAGAAATTGTTAGAGAAGAATAATGTGTGGATGAGTCGATGGTTCTCTATTTTTCTTTGGTACTTCCATACCAACATAAGGAACATAGGATCACCACATTCAATAAGGACAAAGGGCAAGCAATAAGGGTGTCATTGGACCGGTTTTGGATTGTACCCGTCCAGTCCAAAATCAATTTGGACGGATTGGATGGACTAATAAGACATATTGGATTGGATCAATCCAGTCCCAAATATTTATTAGATTGGATTGGATCTGGTTCATTTATAATAAATTTATATTGGATTGGGTTGGATTAAGCCAATATCTGGCCCATTCATATAAAAAAAGAATATAGGTGTCAATGGACCAAGTTTAGGTTAAAATCAATCTAAATCGAAATAAATTTAAACAGATTGGGTGATCTAAACATTGAATTGGACCAATCTAAACAGGTTCAAATTATTCATTCGATTAGATTGGACCTGGTCCATTTATAATGGACTCACATTGGACTGGATTGAATTGGACCAAATCCAGTTCAATTGACACCCCTACAAGCAATGGGAAAGGTCCACTCTGCTTCAATTGTACAATGGTATCAAGAAACAGATAGTCTGTGCTTGGGCTTGATCTGGTTTGCTAAGAACAGGTCTGAATGTCTGACGAGAGCAAAGYTGGGCTTTTGTACTTTCTCAACCAGCAGCCCATGGTTGCCTTTGGGCTGTGGCTATCTGGGCCACAGATATTAGGCTCTTAGTCYTGGGCCTGGGATTCATTCACAATTTAAGATACTTCAGWGAAGAGGAATACTAGCCATACAACATTGGTGAAGCTATATTTGATAAGGTTGCCTTCAAGGCTTGAACATATAACACAATGGATCTAGTACATCGCGCGGGTCCCAGTGTATTGTCACTTTTTAGTTTCTAAACATTGGGAGTCCAAATGATGTACCCACATGGCCAGAAGGCCCAGAACCATGATAATCAACCCACTTGATGCATTCACAYGGGGTTTYCTCATTTTTCTTTGCTTCTAAAAAATTTACTTTTGATGACTTTCTAATTTCTAAAAAGTTTACTTGGGACCCATGTTAATGAGAGATAAAAATCAGAGTAAGGGGCTGTTTGAAATGTTGAACTGAATGATTTATTTCTTTCTTATCTTGGAAAAATTAAAAAATCAAAAAACACTGAATGATATTGGCTCCCCACAAGCAGACCCCACATTGCTCCCCACTGCACATCCCAACCGTGCATTGGAAATATCTACCGGGGAGCTAATCCAAATATCATCAAGGAATTTTTTATTATTTAATTGATTATCCTATCCGTTAAAAGACAAAAACAATAAGTCACCTATTCGATGATAGCACCAGTCATCATCCCTGCATGCCAATTCTTGGAATTTGGTTTTCCATCCCACCAGTGTAAATGGTAATTCTTGGAATTCGCTTGATGACTAAAGTTTTAAACAAATAAATGTTGTTGCTGAGGGCTGGCTGAAGAGTCTGAAGTCTGCAGTGGCAAGGGCCGGTAGGTCAGACATGTAAAGGGAGAGAACGTTAGAAGCCTCAGGTGCTGACTCAAGGTGAAGACTTTAATGATCAAATTAATATGGGGGAGTAGGAGGTAGACATGAATAGGGAGGGTTCAAATGAGGTCACACGGGAAACTGTAGAGCTCTTAGTAATTCAGAGTGTAGGTCTTTACCTTAAAAGAATTGCCGCCTATTTATACTTGAGGCCGACTGAAGGTAAGTGGACTCAGACGATTAGGATATGGTCCGACCCAAGGAGCATGGCCATTCAAGGCTTTTGTGTGCGGGCGCTCTATTGGCCCCTTGTCGTGTGTCGACCTGTGTTATTGGATCGGCGCCCTGGGTGCCACCGTCTGCCACGCGCATGCGCGCTATTGATTTGGGCCATCTGCGCCTACGTCAAATGCATTTGAAAACGAGGAAAGTAGGCGCTTTGGCACATAAACATAATACAATGAGAAGTTGTTTTTGTCTTGGAGTTTTGAACAAATAAATGCCACCAAATGTTAAATGCCCCCTAAAAATAAAAATATCATAAAAGGTGATTCCTCAAATGCCCCCTAAAAATAAAAGACATCATAAAACGTGATTCTTATGGCTGCATAATGAAGTAAATAAGTGTGAATGTAAATATGTAGAGTATAAAATGGTTCATATAAATTATAAAATTGGGTTAGTTTTGCACTGACAAATTTATCTTCTTACCAAACAAACTTTTAGTTGTAGTGGATGCAAACATGAATTTCAATAAAGTATATGTTTTTTTTTTTATCAAAAGCCTATTTGAATGCAAATTTGTTTTTTTATTGATGTACTTACACTCCATTTGCATCATTTCCAAATGCAGCCTAAAAGGGGAATTGTATAAACTTGGGGGTGAGCATTATTCAGTTAAAACTGAGTGCTTACTCAATGTTCTCATAGTGTGTGCCTCCCTAGGCGTGAGTATTATTTAGTTAAAATTGAAAATTTGAATAAAAAGATTTGGTTTGGTTTTTTCCAATTTTTAGTTAAATTGGTTCTGTTAATTCGGTTTTTAGAATTAGAAATTCAATTAACCAAACTTTCTATTATTATATATAATATATAATATATAATATGTAATATATGATATATAATATATTTATACATTAATATATAATAAAATGAAATTTGATTTCATAATATATATTATTAAAATTTGGTTTTAACCAAAAACCAAATTAAAAATTTCGGTTTCGGTTATTTTGGTTTTTCCATAATTCGGCTTCAGTTTGCTTTTTAAAATTTTGGTTTATTTGATTAGGCTTTTAACCGAATAAACCGAATGCTCACCCCTATGCCTGCCTAATCATAATGATTGGAAAAAAAAAGCTTTGGTGTTGTAGGAAACATTGAAAAGTTTCCTCCAAAAGATGGTTTTCATACAAACCGAGTCAAATGTTTATTTGATAAATGATTTAATCAAACAACATTTCAGGGGAAACACCTACATGGCACTGAATGGATGTTGTTTTTCATATAAACAGTAACAGAACCAAACACCACCCTAATTCGGTTCAACTATAGTACCAAAAGGACATGCATGAACTGGAAAAATTTGTAACCAATCAATGATATCATAAAAGTAATAACCAATCAAATGATTATTTATCAAATTCAGGGAGGAGGTTTCATTGGTTAAAGCTAGACCTGGCAAAAACTTGACCCAATCAAAACCAGAAAAAACTGGGTTGGGTTGGGTCATGGGTTAACCCACCAACCCAATTGTCAAGTTTAATCGAGGCTATTTGTGTATTCTTAGAAGTTTCCACTCTTTAATCTTTACTATTTAGTCTTTACAATTTATCATTTACTTTTTAAGGTTAGATTCCTTTAATTTTGGCATTTTCTGCATTTCTTATTTTTTAAATGCCATTTTTTTTAGGAATAACCCAAATTGACTCATGGATCAACCTTAACCCGAAAGTGAAGCCAACCCGAACCCGAAAAGTATAAACATAGATTTTTCCGGCAACATAGATTTTTCTAAACCTAATATAAAGAAAAGTATAAACATTTGTTTTTGAGTCTCTTTGAATCTTGGATTTTGGGGGATTATCGTGGAATCTCATTCTTAATACTATAAAATGCAAATGCCCAAATTGGAAAAATATCAATTTGTTCCAAGATGCTCTCATCTTGGTGGACAAGAGAAAATGGGAAACATAACAGGATTCAATATTGCGAGATTAATCAGTGTGTCGAATTGTTGATACTGATGATGCACAATTCGGCCACTCCTAGCTGGAAGTGACTGAGCTTTTAGCTAGCATCGGGCAAGAGATACCTGCGTGAAGAGAAATGAAGGAACCCGGGGTTGCTCATCCGGTAGGAACACTCCGATGCTTAAGTTAGTATTCGGCTGCGAGCTGGAGAAGAATAAGTTTGCAAGAAGATGAAAAAGCTAGAGAGTGGTGAATATGCGATACCTTGGTCCCTAGGGGGGTTGGAGTTTTTATATACTAACATTCTGGCAGGTTCTGAGGGGCTGATCACAAATCTCTGCCGTGGCGATCTATTGTCAGGTAACACTTTCGGAGTGATTGGTCGTTATCGTCAGGACTGGGGAGCAGGTGGGCTAATGCGACCGTTGTATGGTATGGTCCGCCAGGCAGGGGACAACCTCCAGGGTTGGCAGGCACAACGCCGCCAGGTGAGAGACAATGAGTGCAATCCTCAGAGTTGGCAGGTGTTGCGCCGCCAGGCAAGGGACATGGGTGCAACTTTCAGGTTTGACAGGTACGGTTGTCAGACAGGAAGCTACTCGCGGGGCTCAGGGTTACTTGATAATGGACCCTATAGCGAGCTATCATGTGGCGAGCTACGTGCGTCGAGCTGCTGATAGCATACCGAGGTGATTCTGCCTGAGGCAAGTTGTCTCCGAGGTGGCTCATTTGCCTGGGTCTGCTATCGTGAACTTGGTTGCTTTAGTCCGCAAACTGGGGTGGACTCAACCCAAAGTACCTTCAGCTCAGAACATCATTGTACCCGAGCTTGTTCAAATGCGAGCTGATACTTGCTGAGTTGTCTTCTATGTCGTGTCATGTCCAAGGTTGGGCCAAATCACCCTTCATCAGATACCCATGTTTTTTAGTTTTTTTATGTAAGAGATGGTTTAGTATGGCACGTTGGGATGGCAATTTCCAGTTTTCTCTGTTAATTTGTCTTGTGGAGAGAGAAATGAGTAAATTTACCCAATAAACAACCAAACAAACAAACAGGAAACCAAATCAAACTCAGAAGGGGGAAAATTAATGTTGCAATGGCCACTATTCCCATCTAATTACATAGCTTTTATCATTCATTTCGGAAATGAAAAAGAATAAGCAGCAGTGGAAGAGACTGCTCAATTAGTAAATGAAAAATTCAAATCTCTAAATTTGTACACGAAGAGACTTCAACCACCTCTGTAAAAACAAGTTGAATCATCAAAACCGACTCACTGAGGAAGGATTCTGTTGGTTGTGCACCCGCGACCTATCCCCAGTAATGACAAGGATCTAGTTAGCATGGCTGCTCTGCGTGAACTACTCTGCAATTTTAAAACCCCACCATTAGAAGAGGAAGACAGCGGTGGTGACAACGACGAAGATGATACTGAAGAAGAAACCCCTCCGCCTCCGGTGTCTTGTTGCGTCTTATGGGAAAAATCCATGGACCAGGATCGCTTTAGTGCGACAGGCAGTAATGGTGGTGGGTTTATCTCAGCGAGCAAAATAAGAGAAGAACAGTGTCGAAGCAAACGATTTGACGAGTGAGCCAGCTGCGATATGGAATCGTTAACCCCAACTTGGTGGCCGCCAGTTCCAGCTTGGCTGTGAGCATCAACTCGATCATGGACTCTGTCTTCCTCTGCTTCGGCCCCAACAGAGGGCATCGGCAATGCTATGGCCACGGATACTGCCGCAATGGGCGATCGACAGAGCGGGCAATTCGCGTGAGAAGCGAACCACTGATCAATGCAACGTAGGTGGAAGGCATGTCGACAGTTTGGCAACCAACGCACGATATCTCCTTCCTCCAACTGAACCAGGCAGATGGCACATTCAGTCTGGTCAGGAAGAAACGATCCGCTTTGTTTGCTTGAGTAAGTGAGAACTGGGATGGATTGGAGGACTTTCTCTTCGACCCCGGTTGCCACTTGGTGTTCTTGTTCCTGATGAGTGTGTTGTGAGATCCTCCCATGCCTTCGACCCAAGCAATATCTCGTCAATACCAAATTGTAAGCTACGATTGCCAGGGCTGTGGCCAGTACACCTGCCAAGGAGATCATCAGAGGGGTGAGGATAAGCCGTGATTCCACCACTGAAGATTGTTGGGATGACGACGATGACGACTCCATACTCTCCATCCCATATCATTCACGGTTTCGTTTGCGAGGTATGGTGGATGGAACCCAGAACAGAGCAGAGAGCCAGAGAGGCAGAGATATCTGCTTTTATTTACCGGAGGCAAAAGAGAAGAACCAGATATTTGTTGATATTGCACCGCTTGTCACCCAGATGAAGTTGGGGAGATTTTATAGGTAATCTTTGAATCAGAAATTAAGGACCGAAGATTGATTACACGGGCGACGTACGTAGGTTTTGAAGATTGAGAAACAGAGGAAGCTAAGTATGGACAGGTGTGTGGACAAGACGTGTGGGTGCAAGGGTGAAAAATGGGAAGAGTCCATGGGCTCAACGCATGGGTCGACCAGTTACGTACAGAAAATTTTCAATTTATCTGGTACCGTCCACCTTTTCGTCTTAAAAGTCAACTTCTTTAGATCTGTGGACTGTGGTTGTTTCAAGTTGTAACCGACGGTATTGGGATCCGAATATCCGGATACGTAGAACTGTTCACGGGTCGAGCTGGGTCGGTTTAATATATTTTTTCAACCGACCTGACTTGATCGGGTTACTTAGAGCAAACCAAAATCGATGGTCAGTTAACAGCCCTATATTTGGTGTAGAATTTTTTATACAAAAAAGGAAAATAATCTTAAAAATAAAAGTAATTCCTATTTAACTAATGTTTTATTGTTCTTTAATGTTAAAAACAAGTAACTAACTAGAAAGAATAAACTAGGATAAGGATTACCTAGTTAGGAAAAGACTAGGAAATCAAAAACTAATTAACTCGTTTTGATTTTGGTTTTCACACATGAAAACCGAAAATTGAACCGAATTATCGATTTATCCCTCTTTACAATCCAAAACCGACTGATGGTAAAGAAAAACTGACCAAATCTGGTTGGGTCGGGCTGATTTGGTCTGGTTGACATTGTTTGTAAAGAGCCCTAGGCATTCTTGATAAATTGAATAAGAACAAGGCCTTAAATGATTGTTTGGGTTATGGTTGAACTATCTCCGGATGCCACGTGTTGCCTTATTTCTTTTGGCCACGTCATCACCGCGTCACCTCTATGGCCCAGTTTATCTCTTCAACCACGTCAATGCCACACCATGTGGATAGGCGTGACCAAGACAAGAGATCATCACGCGGATGGGGACAAATCCGATGGGGATTAGGTCTTATCCCGAAGACCTTGGTGGATAACCTCATCCTGATAACCCGAAAAGCCTCATCCGATTAGGACGAATCATTGGCTATAAAAAGGTATCTCCCGCTCAAGGTAAATGATCCAACTTTTGACTCCCATACTATTACTCTGCTTGGACCAGCAACATTCTCTAACTGTTCGGCCCAACCGTCCATTGCTTTCTACTAGCTTGAGTATCAAAGTATCTATTCGGGGATAATTTCTTGGGCCTTTGACCTTTTCTTGATTTCAAATCTCATTGTGCGGCTTTATCCTTATACCTCGGTTCCACCCAGTTCTTGTATTACCTAGGATTGAGCAGCATCAATGATGTTTATGACTTATGAGAAATGTGAATTTTGTCATTTATTGAAAACGATACGATACATTGTTTTATTTTATGCGTAAAGAGGGGTATTAGGGTCATTTTATGCTCTAAGATGGAAATTGGTTGGTTCAAGCCCTAAAACACTCATTTCAACCTCGTCTTCCTTTCCCTCTCCTAGGTGCTAAAATAATAATCGGGTCGGGTTGTTGAATTTGCTTGATTCAATTGAATAAAATAAAAATGAGATTGATCTAATGGAGTGGGATGGTTTGGTCGGGTCAATTTTGAGTGAGTTCAGTTGCCCAAGTCTGAACCACCAAAGGGTTTGAGTGAACAAACGCGTGCCATGTGTAGGCAGTAGTTGTCACATTTGACTTTTGAGCATTGTACATATATATTCCACGGCAACCGGGTTGGATGATGAGCGACGCCCCATTTTTTATAGCTGGAGTTGGGGATGGAATCACGGAATGTGGTCGTCGACGACCTGTTGAATCACCGGTTGTTTATTAGTGGGTCAATTTGACTACTTTTATCCCTTATCATTTTAGTAAGGCTGTTTTTGGTTTGAAGGAAAAAAAAAAAGTAGGGAAAGGGTGGAAAAATGGATTTCCCTATATTTTCCTTACTTTTCCTGTTTTTTCCTTCAAACCAAACATAGCGTACATAAATGTTGGAATATTAGATTTAGGTGGCGTTTCAAACGAGGTTAGACAAGGTCTTTTGTCTACACCTTTCATAGGTGATGAAATGATATCAATACGTACCTCGTCAACATCATTTATTTAATAATAATAAAGAAAATCTAAGATGCCACAAAGACATAGTAGTAGAAACGTTTTGACCAATCAAAGCATTTCTGTGAATTTTGATCAATATCACATGATTGGTCACCTCTTTTATGATGATACCAATTGTATGTTACTTTCTTCAATATCATATCTTTCTGATATTATAATTGAGCCTTAATAATAAACATTTTATTATTATTATTATTAATTGGACCATCATAACCTGCCTGATTATTCAAATGTTATGTAATAGTTGATTGCCGTACTGATTAATTGATTCAGTTGAATTAATATGAATTTCTAGCAAATTAATTTCTCAATTAAATCAATTTATATCTACTTGCTATATATAACACTTGAAAGCTGATGGCACATGACCAGTCGAAAGACTATTTATAGGGCTGTCAACAGGTTGGGTCTGGTTTAGGACAAACTGTACCATTCCATACCAATTATCAATAAGGACATAGATCCTGATTATTAATCAGTATAATTAGGTCTGATACGATTATATATACTAGCATCTATAAATATTTATATAAACAATAACTTATAATTTGATTTTTGATAATATAATCTTAATAAAAATAATGGTAAAATATTAGATTATTTATATGTTAATTAAATCAAGTGTTTTTAATCAAAATTATTTTATATATTATCTATAAAATTTAACCATTAAACATTAAATATAATAAAACATACAAGAAAATTAGGAAACGTTTATGTATTATTAATAAAATAATTGATTAAGTCTGAAGAAGTTCGGAACAAGAAAAAACCAAAACTGATGCAATTATTAATCGGGGCAAATTCACAGAACTCGAACATAAACAGTTTGGTTTGGTTCGGCCGGTCAGGTAAAACCAACCCATTGACAGCCGTAGGAATTAAGGTGGGTTAGATGGAAAAATTTTACCTGTTTACAATCAGGCAGTCTATGCAGTCCACAGGGCTCTCCATACATTAAGCCTATGAACTCCATGCAACAATGACAGTTTGGACTGGATTTGTTCCAATCCGATCCAGTCGAATGTGAGTCGATTTTAAATGGATCAGATCCAATACAATCCAATAAATGTTTTGGATCAATTTGGACCGGTTCAATTTAATGTCTGGAGCGTCTAATCTGTTCAAATTCATTTTGATTTAAATTGGTTTCAATCCAAACCCAGTTCATTGATACATATATTCTCATCTTATATCAATGAATCAGATATTGACTTAATCCAACCCTATCCAATATAAATTTGTTACGGACGAATCAGGTCCAATCCAATGTAATAAAAATTTTGGACTGGATTAGTCCAATTCAATATGTTTTATTGGTTGGTCCAATTTGTCCAAATTGATTTTGTACTGGACGGGGTCCAAATCAAAACCGGTCCATTAACACCCTTAGTTGAAGGGATCTGATTCACTTCTTCACTTATTTGCACTGAACAATTGTTCAATCTTCCCTCTTTTTGAGTAGCAAAAGAAAGAAAAAAAAAAGGAAAAAAAAAATCATTGTGGACTGGTGCCCCATTCAATTTGTGACATGGGTATTTACATGAGAACATGAGAAAACATTTCCTGTGAGATGTCGCATGCAACCCCCAATAAATCCAAACACACCGGCATTTGGAATAAAAGAAAAAAATGAGTTGATGTGATACCTTGAATTTATTGTAAATACTAGCATATTCGCATGGGATTGTGTTGTGACCATGGTCGCAAGAAATGGAAACTCTATTTATACCAAAGGTTCTAAAAATCAGATCGGATAGGTAACCGTTTTATCCACTTGTTTTGGGGTTAAAAGATAAATAATTAAAATAAAAAATGATCAAAAATCATTGTTTAAATTGACTGTACGTTCTAACATTCAACTGCATGGGCCAGCAGGTCACTGATCAAGTCAACGGTTTTTTGCTTAAGAACGATTTTAGGGTGAGATGGAATTGGTTGTCTGACCAGGTCTTGGGTCAACTGATCCGATCATCCAGTCTGATCTGGTTTTCAAAACCATAATTACACATCGTAATGCAATTGTCACATACTGAATGCACAAGATGAGTCTGGATCTCTTGCTAATAAAACGTGTTTCAACCCTCTATCAACATGATCGGACACCACACATCTCATACACTGTGTGTCTCTGTCTCATGATGAGATGTACGGTGTTAGATTACGTTGATAGAGTGTTGGAACGTGTTTTATTGGCAGGAGACCCCAACTTGCAAAAGCTGATATGGACCTGCTGCATTCTTTCCTCAAGATATATAATTATGTATATAAAAATACCCGTGCATGTGCATGACGCCACACATTACCACAGACTTGGAATCGGATCCTACCTACACCAGTGTGTGTGTGGAGGGGAGAGGGGAGAGGGGAGAGGGATTATGGGTTTGGGGGAGCGGCTACCTGCAATAATATTTGAGTTGTACAGCTAATATGATCTGGAGTTATATTAAACCTGTTAAACAAACAACTAATATGAACGTAAGTGAAAAAAAATTCAGATCTGATGAGGTGATGAGCCAAACGGACGGGGAATGGTTCCTGGGTTGAATGGTCCAACTGTCCGGTCTGAACGGATGGCCCACCCAAACAAAAAATAAAAAATAAAAATAAACACACAAAAAATGGCCAAAATCATTCTCGGGTCAAACTGTTTGATGGTTTGACCTCTTGGGTCAGCGGTTCACTGATCAAATCATCAG